AAGGAAGACATTATATTGGGTTTTGATACCCAATTAATCCCGGATCATGATGTAAACATTGGATTAAATTGTTGCCAAACAACCAAGTCCGAAAGCTCGACCCGAAAATAACGTGGGTCGTTGGAAATTGCTTAAACAATTAATATTGCTCACTGTCCATATATATTGAGTAATGCTATTTAGCTCCACTGATGTTACTACCCCAGTCTAGGTGACGTTAATGTGACATTAAATGATATGTGAAATTAAATAAGTCATTTACTTTCATCTTTCACTTAGCCTATCATTTAGAGCCACATAGACTAGGGTTACAACCCCACTAGGGATGAATATCATTATTCATATATATTACCTCTCGGATGACTTTGAATCTTAGCTCATTTAAGCCATTTAGTCCATATATATTACCTCTTGGGTTGTTGGTGTCTTTACCCTAGTTGTAGAGTGTGTGATTTGTGTATACAATTGAGAGAAAACGTGATTGCCTTCCTGCTGGAAAAAACGTTGCCTCAATGGAGGGAAAAATTGGTGGCTTTCTTTGTGTATTTGGTCTCCTCTTTGTCTTCTTCCATTGTTTTTCTTGTTCCTTTGTGGCTTACAAGTCATCACCGTTATCTTATCCTTTGTGGGTGAGATTGAGGAATAATCGAGATGAATATATTAGTTATAAATTGGAGCCATTTGGATTGGTTGTTTGGTACAGAAAAATAACGTGAAACTAAGCCCAAAAAACAACGTTTTCACGATCCTAGGAGCAAGCTGCTGCAACACATTCAATTACAGAATATAATATTGGAAGCAGTTAAATCATCCATTTATTCATGCCACTATAAAACTAAATCAAAATTTTAGCTTTCTTATAATATATAATATCATCATTATCATCACACAAATAATAAATCCATGTTCTAAGATCATATTATTGTCAATCAGGTACTTCTGGGTCCACCATCATTTGTAATTTAGGTTAGGGGGAATTAAATGCGACTTTAAAATAGTAACATTGAAAAAAAATAGGTGGGGGAACCGCTGGAATTGTGTTGATACCTTCGAACTGTGAAATGTTTTACTGTCATGAAACATTGGATATACATATACTGAAACGGATTCTTTCTCTATTAAATATCATAATTGACTTCTCACAATCAGAAACACTAATTTGCAGTTGATGTCCAGCAGCAAGATCTACTTGCATTAGAATACCATTATGAACTCATTGGTATGTATCAATAAGCAAAGCAGTCACAACAGTAGCAACTCTTCATTTCGAGCAAAAATTAATTTTTTGAGCAGACAAATTCTGCTTTTGCTAATTTTATGGTTAGCCAAAGAAAAGATCATTTTGTCATTCTTTACATTAGTTCAATGGATT